AGGGGTCCCCCAGTCTGGCTGCACCTCAGGGACCGGTAACATTAAAAGGAGGAAGAGAACGAGGAAAAGGACAACTCCCACTTTCTATCACTGTTACTTCATTTTGAAAAGGTCACCTTAGCACCAACAGTAAGGCTCAAACCCCAGAACTTAATAAATGCACTTTACAGAAAAACCCATGGAGCAAACACCATGCACTGAGTCCACGTTTTTTTTTTCACTAGAACCTGGGCTGGGCATGTCACCCAGGATTTCCCCAGAATTTCCCAGACACGCCCCTGGCTCCATCCCTCACCTCCTTCCCTGGTCATCTTCCTCAAACTGCATCCCTCCTAACTCTCCCCGCCCCCTTCCTCTGTTTCTTTCTGGAGCATGCCTGCCATATGACATATGCTGTACTGACTAGGGGTCTTCCCCCCAGCAGAACGTCAACTCCATGAGGACAGGGATTTATGGGTATTTTGGTCATGACCGTATCCCCAAGGTCTAGAGCGGTGCCTGGCATGTGGTGGATGCACTGGAAATATTTGTCGGATGAATGAATGAGAATTTGCTCACAAGAGTAATGCATTAAAACCTGCACCTGTCCATTCATCAAACACTTACTAAACAGCATGGAAACTAACAGGCCAAAGCCCTGTCTTCCATGAAAAAAAAATAAAATCCAAGATAGGAGTTTCCCCTTTATAAATAGGAAAGCAGCCCATCAGTATAAGGCCTCACTGGGAAGCCAGGGGGCCCAAGAGAGGGCCTCAAGCCTGCTCCGGCCCTGGCAGGACTCTCAGCCCCAGACTCCTGACCCCCAAGGAGGAAGGGCTGCGAGCTCTCCAGCACCAGGGGCCCGTGCCAGCTCACCTTCTCCGGGGAAGACCTTTGAAGCCTGAGTTGATTTCAAGCTTCGAAAACACTGTTTAGTTAAATTACGTAAGTCGGGAAACCATGGTTGGCCTGAAAAATCAGTGATGATCCTTTTTTTGTTGTGTTTTTTTTTTTAATAACGATGTTTTATAAATTGAGGGAGATGATTCAGTGAAGCTTCCAGGCTTTCTCTCTAAAGGTGTAACAAATTAACTCTCAACAGAAACAGTCAGAGGGGACTTCCCTGGTGGTCCGGTGGTTCCGACTCCGTGCTTCTACTGCTGGAGGATGGAGGAGCATGGCTTCAACCCCTGGCTGGCCGCGTGCCACACGGCGCTGCCAAAAGAAAAAACGAAAGAAGAAAGAAAGAGCCAGAAACAGGAGGCAGGCAACCTCCAAGGGCTTTATAGGTGTTCACTCATTTAGCCGTCCGGACAGCCCAGGAGGCGGGTTACTGCCACCGCCATCCTCATTTGCTAGATGGGGCAGCTCAGGCACAGAGAGGCCAAGAGGTGGCCATGGGAGGCCTCAAGGACAAGGTGACGTGTTTTGTTTTTTGCGGTACACGGGCCTCTCACTGTTGTGGCCCCTCCCGTTGCGGAGCACAGGCTCCGGACGCGCAGGCTCAGCGGCCATGGCTCACGGGCCCAGCCGCTCCGCGGCATGTGGGATCTTCCCGGACCGGGGCACGAACCCGTGTCCCCTGCATCGGCAGGCGGACTCTCAACCACTGCGCCACCAGGGAAGCCCGACAAGGTGACTACTGAGGAAAGTCTGGAAGGGAGTGAGGAAGCAATGCTGGGAACACAGAGTTGGGTCAGACCTTGCACACCACCACCACCCCCTCCCGAAAGGAGCGGCCAGTCTGGGGGCAGGGGGTGACAACTGGGCAAACAGAGGATCTCAATCCAGTGTGGGAAGGGCTGAGATGCAAGCCCAGGGGGCTGCAGGAGCGCCCAAGGACACATCAGGGTAGCCTGAGGGGATGGGGCGGGGGGCAGCTTCCTGGATGTGGCGATGCCAGATTATCCCTACACCCTATTACAATCAGTGGGATCAGAGTTAGGCAGGACAAAGGAGGGATGAGAAGCAGAGGGGGGAGGGGGGAGCTGGAAGGGCACCCAGGCAGAAGGCACAGCAGGGGCAAAAGCCCAAGGCAAGCAGCAGCCGGGTTTGTCAGGAAAGTATGAGCAGCTGGGAGGTACAAAGGGGTGATGGAGGGCCAGGGGGCCAGGGCTGGACCACGAAGGGGCTCGAGCACGTGGCGGAGGGGCTGGGACTTTGTCCTCAGGGTGCTGGGAGTGGCGGGATGAGCGGAGGGGCCATGGTCAGCCCTGGGGGCAGGAAGCCCCCCACACGCAGGCTGGGAGGGGATGGACTGGAGGGGAGAGATTGGGGAAACAGGAGGACACAGCAGTGAGGGTTCAGGTAGAAGAAGATGAAGAGGGGGCGGGGCAGAGAGATGGAGAGGGCATGGGGGACGGGGCTGAGAAACGACAGGCTGTGGGAGACGAGGGAAGGAGGGCTGCGGTGGCGCCTGGTTGGTGATTAGGTAGTTAGCAGCGTTTGAATCACTTGTTTCAGACACATCCAGGGAGATGCCCTGGGGCACCGTGGGAGGGGCAGGCCCTGCCAACACTGCGAAAAAGGACAGGAGCTCATGTCAGGACGAGTTCACACTTCCCCATTTGGCACAAACACCAGAAGCACCCACGGGCCAGGTCCTGGGCGGCGCAATGCTGGGACCCAGAGCTGAGTCAAATGTGAGCCCGTCTGGCGGGGGAGACAGATATGACCCCAGACATCTCAGGCCAGGGCCCAGGGCTGCGGCAGAGGGAGGCAATGGGAGCCCAAAGGGACAGTCAGAGTGGGAAGGAAACCAGAAGAATCGGGTCCCAGGACCCCAAGACGAGCCTGTCCCCCAAACAAGCAACACCCCTGCCACACACTGCCAGAGCTGTCATTAGGCCAAGTGGCTGTTGAGTGAGAGCAGGACTTGGTTGCATTTTGACCTGACTGCGGCTAGAGCTGCCTAGCCGGGTGATTCGGCAGCCAACAGAACCTCCACAGGCGTGTCCTCACCTGTCCAACAGGATTAACAATATCTAAACAGGGGAATTCCCTGGCGGTCCAGTGGTTAAGACTCTGCACTTTCACTGCCGTGGCCAGGATTCAATCTCTAGTTGGGGAACTAAGATCCCACAAGGCACGCAGCATGACCGAAAAAAAAAAAAAAAATCTAGACGGTATTGAAAGGACTGAATAGGTTCATCTCCGTCAAGGACCCAGAACGCTGCCTAGTGCATAGTAAGGACCCCACTGAATGTGAGTTGTTAAGGATGCTTAAGTTTTCACGCTAGGGTCAGGCCTCCAGGCCCCGTACTGGGCAATGCTGGGGACACAGAGGTGGACTCCTAGTCTGATGGGCATTGCGGGGTGGGGACATACATGGATGGACAGTCACTGCCTTCAGTCTGGTTTAGGCCAACTACTGAGACAAAGTGGCTTGAGGGACTGTGTCTGATTTACCTCTGTCTGGACCATCTTCTGTCTGGAGACAAGTCAGGCCCTCAGAGACCTTGCCCTCCACCCCTCTCATGGAGGTGGTAAGCTATACCACCAACTTGTCAGACTGGTTTTCATCTCTAGCAAACACACTCCTCCCTTCCCAGCGTCTCCTCACTTGCCCTGGGGCTGTGATAGCTTCTGGGCTCCCACAGGACCTCCATGACAGCACTTTTTCTGTGCTGGACAGTCAACTGAGTGTGCGATGCAGCCGAGTGGGTGAAAGCCTGGATTGTGTGCAAAGCACTAGCTGGGATGAGGAGTCAGAGGGACCTGGATAGGAATCCCGGCTGTGCCCCTTCCCAGCTGAGTGACCCCTCTGCGCCTCAGTTTCTGCGTGTGTTAAACAGGAACCACGGCTCCTCCAGCAGGTAAGAAAAAGAGAAGGTAACTCGCCCTGCACACAATTCTCAAGAGAGTGAGTGGAAGGGGAACGGGGTCATGACCCAGAAGGGCTGGGTTTGAATGAAGAGGGATCGGGCGTCAGAACCTCTCGGTTCTTGACCCTTGCCCTCAGGTGTGACTTTGACGTTTGAGGGAAGAGCTGCAGAGGATCAGAGGTACCAGAAGACCCTCATACAGTGTGCGCTCTTGACCCCGGAAGTATACGGCCGCGGGGCTCAGGGAGGAGGGAGAGGGGGGCCCGGTCACCTTCACGGCGAAGTCGATGACCCTCTTGACAGCCACAAGCGCGCGCAGCTCCGCCATCTTCCCTCCGCGGCGACCCGCCGGGTCCGTCCTCACCCTCGGCCTCACGGTCCGGACGCCCCGCCCCCTGTCCTTCTCTGCGCCGGCGCTCCGCGCCACCAGCCAGTCAACCGCTGCGGTGCCCGCCTCCCCGCCCCGACAGAGGACCAATCAGGAGGCCTGAGGGGAGGGTGGTGCGGCAAGCGGATGCGGGCCAATGGGGAGAGGATCCTGGGGAGGGAGGCGGAACCCGGAGGGGAAGGGAAAAACTGCTTTGTGAAGGGGGCGTGGCCGAGAACTAGGGGAAAGGTCTTGCGGAGGAGGGAAGCGCTGCCAGGCAGGAGTTTCAACGAGTAGTCCTAAGCTTTTCCCAGTGCCCTAGGATTAGCCCTCTCCCCTAGTTCCCCACCTCTTACTCGCCTCTCCGAGTCGTGGTGCCTACGTGTCCGAGTCCCCCCATTCTCTCCATGCCCGTGTTCCTCATCCCCTCTATGATCGTGCCTCTACGTTCCCCCATATCCGTCCTCCCCCGTCCCTGTCTCCACTTTTCCTCCATGTCTGTGTCCCTACATCCTCTCCACGAGCCCTTGTCCCCTCCTGACCCCACTACCCCCTGTCCCTGTTCCCATCAAAACCCTTGTCCTGTCCATGACCGAATCTCCGTTCCTGTGTACCCCCATGTCTCCACGTTCCCTATAGGTTCGTGTCCTTACTTCCTCCCTGAGCCTCCAGGTACCCCCGTGTCCGCGTCCTCAGGTCCCCCAGAAAGGCACGTGGAGCCGCGGCAATGGAAACAGTTCCTTTATTCTGCCCCAGGCAGCTGCGGTCATAAGCACACGGGGAATCCACTGATGGCATCCGTGCTCTGCATGATCATGTCCGCCAGCAGAAAGCAGAAGCCTGGCGGGAAGGGAACGGAGGGCGGGTGGAGGAGGGTGAGTCCTAGGGCGGATGGTCGGGAGGACCCCGGGGACTGGGGTTTGGGGCTCCAAGGGCGTTTCTGTCGGGTCCGCGGGAGCCCAGAGTGGAGTGTGTTCAGGAGTCCCTGGGAGGTCACTGTGGTGTTTCCTGGGAGGACAGCTGGGGAGTCTCTGCAGGGAGGGGGGGGGTCCTCGGGACAGTCTCCTCTCCACCCTCTTCCGTTATCCAGGTTACCCGCGAGAACAGAGAAGGGTAAAGCCAGCCACCCCGAAAAACAGGACCAGGAGAAGACGTCGTTTTTCCCTGCATTCTTCACTGTGTAGCCTGTCATGGCGATCAGCAGCAGCAGGCCTGGGCCCCGCCCACCCGCCAGGTGAGGGTGGCCAGGGGGCTGCACCCAGCCTCACCCTGACCGCGCCCACCGCCTCAGACCACGCCCTTCTTGCCCGCCCTCCCGCCCCTGCTCTACCCCATCTCCCTGGCCCCGCCCCTGACCCTGCCTCTTTAGCTCCTCGCCCTCGGGGCCCCTACCTCCTCCAGCTACCAGGCCCACCCTATGCCGTCTCACCACAGAGGAAGAAGATGGCACTCGTGGTCCGGCCCCGCGAGTCGCCCTCCTGGCACAGAATCCGCAGCCCCATCACCAAGCCCACGATGCTGCAGCCCGCCGCCAGCACCATGCACGCCCCGGTCACCGCCAGCATGGCTGGGGAGAGCGGGCCGCATCAACCCCGCTGGCGCCGCTCCTGGCCACCACCCCCATCCGCCGGCTCCGAGCTGGGAGCAGAGTCAGGGTTTTGGATGGGGACTTGGAAGTTACATCGTGAGCGGCGGTTAATGTTGCAACAGGGAGGCAGGTCCCCGAGTTGGGGTTCCTGGTGGCCTGGTCACGGAGGGACAGCTGGATCTTAGGCCGAAGTGGAAGGGCTGGGGGCGGGGGCACCGCAGGATGTGCCCGGCTGTAGTGTCAGGAGAGGGGGCCAGCTGTGGTCAGTGCTGGGGGGCTGTCTGTCCAGTAGGGGGGGAGGGTCTGACAGCTGGGCGGCGGGGCCTCACTCTGGCAGGAGATGTTGGAGCAGGTGCCCCCGCTGCACTCCTGCCACAGGCCACTGTGGCCCCCAGAGTAGCGGATCCAGTAGTTGGTGGCCATGGACAGAATGGTGAGGATGTTGGCCAAGAAGCCCAGCAAGGTGCCCCCACTTTGAAGGCTCCGCTTCACCCCCATGCCAGGGAGGCTGCTGCCGAGGACCATACATGCAGGATTGGCCAACGCTCCTCCCACCCCCAGGTCCCTGAGACCCCCCTCTTGCATGTCCCTCCATATCCCAGATGGCTACCCCTGCACCCCTGCCTGGTGCCCCTACTTCTGGGACCACCCCCCTCAGGCCCCTCCCAGACCCAAGACCACCTGCCCCCTCAGGCATCACTGCTTAGGAACCTCTGCCTTCCAGAGACCTCCATCCCCCAGTGGACGTGACTTTGGCCTGTCCCTTGCCTTCCCCACCACACACCCACCTAAATGACTCACCCACAGCTCCCAGGGCTTCTCAGACAGAGCCCAGAGGGTGGGGGAAGGGAGACTGGGTCTCTGTGAGGCAGCAGGAGTTCCAGAACCCCCTTCTCTAGTGGCCATTTAAAGAGATAACCACCCACCCACCCATACGCGCGCACACACACACACACACACACACACACAGAAGCAGCTCTTCTGGCAAACTGACAGCTCAGAGTCAGGTGGCAAGTCTGGGGGACCCTGAGGGCCATGAGATGGTAGCCCGTGTCCTAGAAGCTGCTCTTCCCTTGACCCCATAAGCTCTCCTGGTCCCCAGCTCTCTGTGCCCTCCCAGGCCCCCATGCAGCCTCCTGCCCCTCCCTCCACTTCTCAAGGCCGGTTCTCCTGGAGAACTCCATTCTGCATCTTCTTGCCAGGTGAGCTCCAGTGACCACTGATGCTCTGAGAGCATCGCACACTGCATCTCCAGCCCAGGTCCTCACCTGCTTCTGACCATCTCCCAGACCCTGACACCCAACCACATCCCCATTCATCTCAGCATCTTCCACCAAACCAGGGAGGACACCATCACCCCATCCAGTTAGTTGGACCACACCCCTGGGCACTATCCTCGCCCTCTTCCTGCCCCTCACCCTACAAAGCCCTTGGATCCCTGAGTCCAGTTCCTCCCACCCCCTGAAACTTTCTGGCTCCTTTCCTCCTTTCCCTCTCATGCCCTGGCCCCAGTGCACCCTTGTCCTGTCTCATGTCCCACCTGTTGGATTGCCAAGCTCTTCTCTCCCCTTCAAGCCTCCCCCATGGGCCCCAGAAGGAGCTTTCTGGCACCCAGGCCAGACGCTGTCCCTCCCCTGCTCACACCCTTAGCTCTCCATCACCCTCAAGAGACAGTCAACTGCTGGGCTAGAGGTGCTGCCTCCTACCCACCTCTCCATCCTCATTTCCCCTCCCGCTCACCTTCTACAGTGGACCACAAAGCACTATTCTCCATCCCCTGAGAACTCCCAGCCTCTCCACGCCTTCACCTTAGGGTCCCTCTGCCTGCATTACCTTCCCTCGGCCCTGGAGAAGTTCCTAAACACCGTCTCCCCAGAAAGCTCACCTCCACACCACACCCCTCCTCCAGACACAGCCAGTCTTCCTGCCACACCTGCCCTGGGCTCTGCCTGCCCCCACCGGACTTGGAGCCCCTGGCGGGCAGGGCCTGATCTGACTCACCTCAGCATCCCCAGTGGGAGGCCCTGCAGAAAGGATGCACTCAGGAAAAGCCAGCTGAAAGAATGAATTTGTTCTTTTTCTTTATTTTTTTTTTTTTTGGCTGCACCCCGCGGCTTGCGGGTTCTTAATTCCCTGACCAGGGATTGAACCCGTGTCCCCTGCAGTGGAAGCACGGATTCTTAACCTCTGGACCACCAGGGAAATCCCAAGAGTGAATTTATTAATGAAATGAGGAAGGCGCGCTAAGGGTGACAAAATCAGAAGGGGCAAAAGAAAAGAGCTAAAGGGAGAAAGACAAAGGGAAGAAAAGAGATAGAGGATGGAGAGACAAGGGCCCTGGGGCCATGCCCGAGCCCACACTGGTTCCCACTCTGGTGGGAGCATCTCTAGGGCAGGGCAGGTAGCAGGACTGACTCCTCTCTGGGTGCCCAGTGTCATCCGCCGTGGAGCTGCAGTGTCGTTGGCTTCTGTTGTGGTAGCATTAACCTCAGAATAACCAGATCCCAGCAAATTTTTGTTGAATGAATGAAGACACAAAGGAAAGAGCTTGCAGACGCTGGGAGTCAGGGCAAGAAGGAGAGCCAGCTGTTTTCATGGTTCCTGATGACACCTTCAGAGAATGGAGTGCCAAAGCCATCCTGTGGTTCACATGGCCTCATAGCCAGGCCGGTGGGCCCTGTATTGAGCTCCCAGACTCAGGCCACCTGGGTTGGCAGAGAGAAGTTAAACCCTTGCTCCCGCCCTGCTCCCTCAGAGCCCCCAGCTGGACCCCTATCCACCCCTGGAACTCCCCAGGGCAGCAGTCACCTGCACAGAGAAAGAGGACAGTTGAAACCCAGCCCAGGTAGAAGGACCAGGAGAAGAAGGAGTGGATCTGGGGGTGTCCAGGCTGCTTCCACCGCTCGATAGTGTAGACCACCATGGCCACTAGCAGGGAGAGGGCTGGGGACGGAGACAAGAAGGATGGCTCAGCCCCTCCGCGAAAACTCACCAGGTCCCAGCGCCCCAAGCGCAGCCCGGAGTCCTTACCTGCGGCAAAGGCTATGAAGGTCGAGACAATGGGGCCGCGTCCAGGGGCAGACAGTGAAGGGATGCAGGACATGACCAGAAAGCTCACAGAGATCAGGCCCCACAGGACAGCCAGAATGCAGAAGCTCTGTGTCACGTGGATATAGCCTGCTCAGAGACGGGACCGCTAAGTGCCCGTCCCCTCAGGCCCTTCCCCACCCCAAGAGAGACCGCTCCCCCTTACCTTCTACTGAGCCCTCATCTCCCCTTGGCCAGAGGCCCGAGTGAGACAAGGAGATGGGCCCCTCGGCCACAAACCAGAAATTCGTGCTCAGAGCCACCAAGAGAGACAACAGGCCCAGGGAGCTAGTGAGCAGGGCCAGGGACCAGCAGGGCTCCATGGGGGCGAAGGCTGGGTTTCTGGGTCCTGGGTGATGAAAAGCCTGGTGATCCAGATTCCTGGGTCTCTGAGAAAGGAGGAAGCTCTGCCCCCTGGACTCCTGGGAGAGTCAAGCAGTTGGGGCAGTTGGGGGACCTGTGGTCCTTCAGATCAGACTAGTTTGGTCTCACCCAGTTCCTGGCAGTTGACTCTCGTCACACATCCTCTCTTCCCGGCTTGCATCGGCACCCGCCCCCCACCCCTTGAGGTTCTCCTCACAGTATATGGTGGGGGAAGGGCCCTGGAGATGTCACATTGTCAGTGGTTTGGGTGGGTAGAGTGTGTCTCTACAGAAGTTTCCATACCTCCTGCCCTCGGAGCCCTCCACACCAGAGGGGGCTTCCTGTAAGAGGTGAGAGAGAGGCTTGGGAGGCCCAGAGGTGGGGTGTGGTGAGTGAGGCCAGGGTGTGAGTTAAATGCGAGGGGGAGGTGTAGCCAGAGGGGACAGTTGGGGGATGCATCATTCTTTCCTGTGGGTTCTGCAACCTTCCGTTCTGGCAGACGGGGGCCCCAATTCTAGGGTCTCCATTAAAGGAGGGGGAAGGAGGCTAGGATGCTTGGGGCTGAAGGAGGAAGCTGCTAGGAAGCCTAGACTCCAGGTCCTGAGCGTGGGGACACAGACTCCCGGCTCCTTACTTAGAGCTTATGCCCAGGGCAGGTAAACAGCGATCGCAGTTTTGAAAGTTTGTGGAGGGAAGACATGCCCACATCCTCATCTCCTCATCTGACACATGAGTTCACAGTTGGTGCTGTTTCGAGCAAGGCTTTCCGTCTGGTGTGCTTCATCAACAGGACCTGGGTTTCTGTGGTCGGGGAGTGGGAGTCGGGGGTCAAGGATGTCAGTGCAGGACTTTCTGGCCCTCCCCTCACAGCAGCATCAGAGGTCCTGGGCCCCTCAAATAGAAGGTGAAGGTGCCACAGCCCATGTAGAAGGCCCAGACAAACTTGACCTCTACGAAGCAGGAATGACCTGGAAGAGGACTTCTGTCCCGCAGATGAACTGAGCTAACAGTCCCAGGGCAGCTGGTGAAGGGGAGAACCAGAGTGACCCAGGAGGCTCTGTCCTCTTCCTTGGTTGGAGACTCCAGTTTGCAGGCCCCCATCCTTCTCCCAGATGCTCACCAGTGGGGTAACTGGCCGCTCCTGAGAACATGCTCATGAGGACAGGCTCCCAGAAGGGGATCCAGGTCCTGAGCAGCTGGGGTGCCATCCCCAAAATGGCTCCTGTGATTAGCTGCCGGACAAGCTTCAGGAAGTCTCAGCCGAGGGCACGTGGTGATCACATGCACAGAACCCATCTGAGATCTTTTTTTCTCCCTCTCTTTTTCTTTTTTGGCCTCACTGCATGGCTTGTGGGATCTTAGTTCCCCAACCAGGGATTGATCCCGGGCCCTCGGCAGTGAAAGAACGGAGTCCTAGCCACTGGACCGCCAGGGAATTACCCCCATCTGTCATCTTGACCACATCCCAAACCCAACACCATCCTGACCGCAGGCAGCTCCAATCCCATCCTTAGCCCCATCCCTACCCTCCAACCCAGCCCCATTCTCATTCCTAACAACAAATTCAATCCCATCCTTTTATTTATTTATTTTATTTATTGGTGTGTGTGTGTGTGTGCCACACCGCATGGTGTGCGGGATCTTAGTTCCCTGACCAGGGATTGAACCCCAGCCCCAGCAGTGAAAGCGCTGAGTCCTAACCACTGGACGGCCAGGGAATTCCCTCAGTCTCATCCTTAACCCCAGTTCCAATTCCAAACTCCAGCTCCAACCCCAAATTCAACCCATCCCAATCCCCAAGCTCAATCCCATTGTTAACCCCAGTTCCAACCCATCCCAAACCCCAAACCTAGGGGCTTCCCTGGTGGCGCAGTGGTTGGGAGTCTGCCTGCCGATACAGGGGGCACGGGTTCGTGCCCCGGTCCGGGAAGATCCCACATGCCGTGGAGCGGCTGGGCCCATGAGCCATGGCCGCTGAGCCTGCGCGTCCAGAGCCTGTGCTCCGCAACGGGAGAGGCCACAACAGTGAGAGGCCCGCGTACCGCAAAAAAAACAAAAACAAAAACAAAAAAAACGCCAAACCTAACCCCAAAACACAACCCATTTCTCAACCCCAACTCCATCCCTGAATTTAACCCCATCTCTATCTTCTCACCTAACCCCATTCTTATTCCCAAACTCAACCCCACCCCCAAACCCAAACCCATCCTCACCCAAACGCTTAACCCTCTCCTCACATCCATCCCCACACCAGATGGCATTTCCAGTCTCAACTCCAGCCCCAGTCCCACCCCCACTTCCTTCTTCATACTTCTCCCCGACCCTGTAATTCTTACCTCAATCCCAGCACACCCCCTCCATTTTTTATCTTCATCCAACCTCCAGGTCCAAGCCACTGGAGGACTGAGAGCAGAGGGGGGACATGATTTGAATCATGTTTTAATAAAAATTCCTTTAAAAGTCTAAAAACAATAAATGCTGGGGAGGGTGTGGAGAAAAGGGAACCCTCCTACACTGTTGGCGGGTATGTAAATTGGTACAACCACTATGGAGAACAGTATGGAGGTTCCTTAAAAAACTAAAAGAAAAAAACTAAAAAAAACTAAAACTAAAAAACAACTAAAGAACCCGCTTCCCTGGTGGCGCAGTGGTTGAGAGTCCGCCTGCCGATACAGGGGACATGGGTTCGTGCCCCGGTCCGGGAAGATCCCACATGCCGCGGAGCGGCTGGGCCCGTGAGCCATGGCCGCTGAGCCTGCGCGTCCGGAGCCTGTGCCCTGCAATGGAAATGGAAGAGGCCACAACAGTGAGAGGCCCGCGTACCGCAAAAAAAAAAAAAAGGACGTACTGTGTAGCACAGGGAACTCAATATTCTGTAATAACCTATATGGGAAAAGAATCTGAAAAAGAAAGGATATATGTATATGTATAACTGAATCACTTAGCTGTACACCTGAAACTAACAGAACATTGTAAATCAACTATACTCCAATATAAAATAAAAATTAAATTTGAAAAAGAAAAAATGAAAAGAAAATCCTTTAGATACTGTGTAGAGAATGGACTGCAGGGGCAGGGATTGGGTGGGGTGTGGGTTGAGGCTGAGCTGGTTAGAAGTCTGTGGCAATAAGCCAGGTGAGACATGATGGTGGCTGGGATCAGGGGGTAACCATGGTTGAACAAGAAGGGGTCCAATTCCGAATACATTTGGAAGGTAGAGCCAAAACGATGTGCTAATGAATCAGATGTGAGACGTAACAGAAGGAAAGCTGTGGAGGGTGATCCCAATGTTTCTGGCTTGAGCAGCTAGATAAAAATGGACTTGTCAGGCTTCCTTGGTGGCGCAGTGGTTGAGAATCTGCCTGCTAATGCAGGGGACACGGGTTCGAGCCCTGGTCTGGGAGAATCCCACATGCTGTGGAGCAACTAGGCCCGTGAGCCACAACTACTGAGCCTGCATGTCTGGAGCCTGTGCTCCACAACAAGAGAGGCCCACGCACTGCGATGAAGAGTGGCCCCCGCTCGCCACAACTAGAGAAAGCCCTCGCACAGAAACGAAGACCCAACACAGCAAAAATAAATAAAATAAATTAATTTTTTTTTTAAAAAAAGAAAAAACACCTTAAAAAAATTTAAAACAAAAATGGACTTGTCATTTACTAAGTTGGGAGAGACCATGGGAGGAGCAGATGCGGGGTGTGAGAGAGTTCAGGAGCTCAACTTCAGATATGTGAAAACTGAGATGCCTCTTCTTTTCAGGTGGAAATGTTGAGTAAGTAGTTGGAGATACGAGTCTGAAGTTATAACATCATTATTATTGCTAGAGTCAGCCCCTATAAATATGATTCCTGGAATAAGTCTCAGGAAATATTTCTACTTAAATAGGCCTCAATAAATTATAATCAGTTGATATTATTACTAGAGGAAGCCTCTATAAATATAGTATTTTGGTTATTTGAGGAGGTCCCAATAAATATTTCTAGGGAGTAAGCCTCTATTAATATAACAGTTCCTAGCCTAGGCTGTAATAAATATTCTTATTATTGGAATTAGCCTCCCTAAATAGCCTTATTATTTCATGATAAGCTTTAGTAAATCTCATGGCAGTTGGCACGAGTTTGTTGAATGAACTAATGAATGAGTGAGTGAAGAGAAGATCAAAGTCACGAATGATGGATGAAGAGGCAGGTGCAGGACGAGGTGCAGATCAGACTTCTGGTGTTTCTCCTTGGAAGGGTCCATCCAGGGAGGGGCCAGGAGGTTGGGAGAGCCAACTGGAGATGGTGCGAGTGGGCAAGGAGGTTGTTTTTCCACAGTTGTTCCTGTTTTTTTTTTTTGGCCGCGCTGGGCAGCATGTGGGATCTGAGTTCCCAGGCTGAATTCGCTCAGTGGCGTTTTGGAGGGCTCCGAGGAGCTCTGGTTGTCTCAGCACAGAAAGAATTCAGTGAGAGGCAAAGTGATGAGATAAGAAGCGAATTATTAGATTATTAGAATAGGATGCTTGTGAGGCTTACAAGTGGGTGGGCGAGAGGGTGCCTCCCCAAGAACTTAGTGGGCTCCTGTTTTATAATCAAAGGAAAAGTGGGGAGGGGGAGAAGACCACCTCCTTCCTCATTCTTGAGTAGACGTCATGCTTCCATCCTCAGCTCCGCCTCCAGGTTGGGCAGGGGAGTTTTTTTGTCCCTACATGGTCAAGCCAGGACTGTCATGGCACTACGGAAAAATTATTTCAGGTCTCAGTACAATGAGGGTCTTTCACTTTGAAATATCACCTTTCCATAAATTATTGTCTTTTATGTGTGCAGAGAGAATGTCATGGGGGTTATTAACTTACTGAGCTCACTGGACAGGATGTGGGTCTCACGCCACCATTGTTTTATTGTTTGGGGCATGTCTCATGCTTCTGTCACACGGTTTTGTTGCTAAGCAAGCCTGCTTGGTTTTGTGGTTAAGCAAACCTGCTTTCTTAAGTGATCATTAACTTCTAGGGGTCTCCCATACTTTTTCTTTACTTACAATCCCCTAGTGTAAGTAAATCCTCTATTTAACTAATCCTCTATTTAATTACCTACTTTGTCCCTTTATTCTGTCCCTATCATGACCAGGGATAGAACCCATGCCCCCGGCATTGGGAGTGTGGAGTCTTAACCACTGGACCACCGGGGAACTTCCACAGATCTTTTCATTTATCGTGTTATCCTACTGTGATATTATGTTTTATAATAAATATATATTGGGTCTTTGTCCCCACTTCTGGCATAGGGATCCTTAAACTCTTGGAATTTCCTAAGTTGTGAGAGGGGAACCAACCACCGCTGATTAGAGGGTCAGAAATTGCAGTCCCACCCCTTGACCTCCTGGGAGGGGAGAGAAGTTGGAGATTGAGTTCAACCACCAACGGCCAATGACTTAATCAATCATAACTATGTAATGAAGTCTCCAGAAAAACCCAGAAGGAGAGGATTCAGAGAGCTTCCGGGCTGGTGGACACGTGCTTTCTGGGGGAGAGTGACCTACTTGGAGAGAGCATGGAAGCTCCACACCTCTTCTCACTTACCTTGACCTGTGCATCTCTTCCATCTGGCTGTTTTTTTATTTGTTTGTTTGGGGTTTTTTGCGATACGCGGGCCTCTCACTGTTGTGGCCTCTCCCGTTGTGGAGCACAGGCTCCGGACGCGCAGGCTCAGCGGCCATGGCTCACGGGGCCAGCCACTCCATGGCATGTGGGATCATCCCAGACCGGGGCATGAACCCGTGTCCCCTGCATCGGCAGGCGGACTCTCAACCACTGCGCCACCAGGGAAGCCCCATCTGGCTGTTTTGAGTTATATCCTTTTATGAAAAACTGGTGATCTAGTAAGTAAAATGTTTCCCTGAGTTCTGTGAGCTGCTCTAGCAAATTAATGGAACCCAAGGAGGGGGTTGTTGGGACCTCTAGTCTATTGTTGGTTGCTCAGAAGCACAAGTGGCAACCTGGGCTTGTGATTGGCATCTGAAGTGGGAGGCGCGGTCTTCTAGGGCTGTGTCTTTAACTTGTGTGATCTAACACTTTCTCTAGGTAGATCGTGTCAGAATTGAGTTACTCGCTTGGTGGTGTGGGGGAAAAACACACCCATCAGAATTGGACCTACACATTGGTTTCCTAGCAGTTGAACCCAGGGACTTCCCTGACTGTCCAGTGGTTAGGACTCCACACTTCCACTGCAGGGGGCCCAGGTTCGATCCCTAGTGGGAGAACTAAGATCCCACACGTCGAGGGGTGCAGCCAAAAAAAAAAAGGTGAACCTAGTAGGGTGGGGACTGTGAAATTTATCTCTGTGCCCATCTCTCCTACAGGAACTGAGCAGGCAGGCCTACTATAATGCCACCACCCCTGCCCCATTCACCACACTTCACCCCTCTTTCTCTCCACTCGAACGCCTCAGGGACCACACTTCAGTAGTTTCCGTCAGTTTTATTAAACTCCAAAAAGTCTCTCTAATGGATATTCCATTTCTCTAACAACCCCCCTGGTGGCTGGGGCCTTGGGTCTCCTCAACTGCCTCCACCAGGCCCCAGGAACCAGGATTTCAGGCCTATAGACCCACTGCCTCCTCTTCAGTGACCTGACTTTGACATCCAGATGAAGTCGGGGCACACATTTGGGTTCAGCGGGGAGTGGACAGGCGCCGACATTCATTCATCCGGTAGGCACACATGTAGAAAATTCCTGCGCGAGAAGAGATCCCGGTTGACCCCGCCCAGCCCCCATCAGCCCTCCCAGCCCCTGCTCCCAGCCCAAGACACTGACACAGCATCCCCTTTCTCCCTGGTGTCCACAGGGCTTGGAGTCTGCCTTCTGGTTCAGTGCCGGGGCCGCCTGTGTGAGATCCCCCACCCCATCATCTCACCCGGACACTGGCCTTTCCACCCCCAAACCCAGTACCTGCAAAGAAGGTCATGAGCAGGGCTACCCAGCCCAGGATGTAGGACCAGGAAAAGCGCCAATCCCCGAAGCGGCGACCGAGGAAGCTGACGGTGACTCCAGTGTAAATGGCCAAGGCCAGCAGGACGAAAAATGCTGGAGAGAGAGGTCGGGGGTGGGGTGGGGTGGGGGGGGAATGGGGATGGAGGCGGGTTTGGAGATGGGGGTGGGAATGAATAAATTGAGAAGGGGGTATGGGTGCAGGTAGGGATAGGGTGAGGATGGGGGTTGAGTTGAAAGTGGGAGTAAAAATGAATGAGGGGTAGGGTTAGGGTGGGAATGGTGTGCGGTTGTGCTGTGTCATAAAGAACCTGACTGGTCTTTGTCTCTGGTTCCTGGGAGGGAAACTCTAAATCCTTGGAATTTTCTGAGTACTAGGAGTGTCTTTGTTGTTCTTGGATCACACCTGAGTTTATGTTGATGATCAGAGATGACTCAGGGATAGGAGCTGGTCAGCAGAAAGACCAGCCGTGGGAATAGAGAGTTGGGGCTTTGAGCCGCTTGGGATCAGTCCAACCTCTGGAGAGGAAAGGGGAGCTGGAGATAGAGTTCAATCACATGGCCAGTGATTCATGCCCTTGTAATGAAACTCCAGTAGAAATGCTGGATGCTGGCGGTCACTGGAGCTCCCTGTTTGGTGAATGCATGGATGCGCTGACGAGCCCTAATTCCGCAGGGAGAGTGCATGGAAACTCCATGTTCAGGACCCCTCTCCGGCTTCACGCTATGCACCTCTTTAGTTGGCTGGTCTTGAGTTGTACTCTTTATAATAAAGCTGTTAAGTATTATGCTTTCCTGAGTTCTGTGAGTTATTCTAGCACATTTCTGAACCTGAGCAGGTCCTGGGAACCCCTGAATCTGTAGCCGATTGGTCAAAAGTACAGGTGAGCTGGGGACCCCAACTGCAGCTGAAGTAGGGGCAGTCTGGTTGGGAACCGTGCCTTTAAACCTGTGGGGTTTGATGCCAACTCCGGTGGTTAGTGCCGGAATTGAATGGCAGTACACAGAGCTGGTGTCAGAACTGACTGGCATTAGAAATAGTCCTGAAGTTGTCGTCGAAGGTGGAGGGGGGATTTGGGTGCGGGTGGAGTGGAGTGAGGAACAGTGGGGAATGGAAGTGGTTTTGGGGGTAGAGCTGGAGAGGGAGCTGGGAGGGGGCAGGTGTAGGGGGTGATTCACTCACTGGAGGCGAAAAACACGATGCCCGCAGAGAAGGGCCGGGAGAAGCGGGTGAAAGTGGGCTGCTGAGCGAACGCCATGATGCCCATGATGATGCCAGAGGTGGCGCACAGGGAGGACAGGATCATGAAGGCCCGGGTGGCATTCCAGTATGCTGTGGGAGCACCCCACGGTCACTCCTGTGCCTTCCTTGCCCTCAGTGGTGAAGGCTGCTACCTCTGAGGGCAGGAATGCCTCACCCCTCTCTGTATTCCTGACCTAGCTCCTCCTTCACCTCTCTGAAAAGCCCTTCCTCTTCACCTGGCAGACTCCTATTCATCCTGCAAAGCTCGGCTCCCAGATCCCCTCCTCTGGGAAGCATCCCTTCACCCCTCGGGCACCATCTTCACTCCTTGCTCTGGGCTGAGACTCTCTTTGCCTGTTTCCCTCTCCAGCCTGATTGCTCCCCAAGGACAGGGACCTGGTCGACTCTACACCACAGACACCAGCAGAGGTTTGATTTGCACGTGGGCCTGGAGAAATGCTTGTTCAATGAATGAATGCCAATTTCCCATATCCTCCTGCTACTCACTCTCTATCCTCTCTCCCATGCTCCCTTTCCCTTCCTTCATACCACTTACCCATATTTAGAAATGTCCCATTCATTTATTTCTAACTTGTTTATGATGTCTATCTCTCTCCACTGAGTTCTCCGCTCTGCGAGGGCAAGGGCCTGGCTTTCTCGCTCACTGCTGTATCCCCAGCACCTAGTGCCTGGCCCGTAATAGGTGTTCAAGAAACATGTTGAATGAACGGAGATGCCCTGGGAGCACTCATCACGATCTCATCTTCCATTTGGCAGCTCTCAAGTACGTGCCAGGCTCTCTTCCCATGTATGATCCTATTTATTCTTTCCAAGAGCCCTATGCTCTAAGTAGTATTTTCATGACCATTTTTCAAGTGAAGGAACGGAGGCTCAGAGAGGTGAAGTGATTTGCTCAAGGTCCCATAATTAGCAGAGGGACTGGAGTTGAAAGCCAAGCTCCACGCCCTCAGTCTTAACTGCTTTGTTATTCTGTCTCTCGGAGAACCCATGACAATTATCACCCGGGGCAGAACTGGGATCCTGCCACTGAAAAAGCCTTAGATCTTTGCAAAATGCAGTCTTTTGTCTTGTGAAAGTCTAGGGGAGAGCAATTCCTGGATACTTCTCCACGGATGTTGTTATGGGCTGCTGGGTTGCGTTGTGTCTCCCCTTTCAAGTTCATATGTTGAAGTTCTAACTGCTCCCCCCTCCCCCCACTGCCTCGGAATATGACCTTATTTGGAAATAGGGTCTTTGCAGATGTAAGTAGTTAAGATGAGGTCATACCAGAGTAGGGTGGATTTTTAATCCAATATGATTGGTATCCTCATAAAATGGGGACATTTGGAGACAGGCACAGGCAGGCACACACCCAGGGGGGCATCACGCACAAATGAAGGCAGAGATGGGCTGGTGCATTTACAAGCCGAGGAAAACCAAAGATTGCCGGGCAGCCACCAGAAGCTAAGAGAGAGGCAGGGAACAGATTCTTCCTCACAGCCCTCAGAAGGAACCAACCTTGCAGAGACCTCGATTTTGGACTTCTAGCCTCCAGATCTGTGAGGCAATAGATTTCTGTTAAGCCACCCAGTTTGTGGTACTTTGTTACGGCAGCCTTAGAAAAGGAATACACGTGCCTCTGGGTATTTAAAAGTCTGGAGGACTTATGGGGGATGTTATAGCCTATTTATTTCCCATGGTTGGGCTAATGCAGGGGTGGAAAACACAAATGCCTCTGAGGCTTGGCTGCAGCTGTGAATAAAGGCAGGAGACAGCAGGCTGCATGGGGAACATGTATGTACCAGCTATCAATTATCAGCTTCATCTTTAGATAAAACCTTCCCTATTCAAATCACAGTGTGGTTTCTGTCTCCTGAGGGGACCCTGACTGGTGTGCCCCATTTGAAGGGGGCATTTGCTTCTCATAACCAGCTGACCATGGGCCTGGAAAAGACAGGCAAAGCTGGATTATTCAAGAAGAGCTGCAAGTCCAGATTTTAATGTAAAAATCTCCAGATTTTTAAAATACTGGTAATGACTTTGGAAACTTAAAAAATGCTATGCATACGCGTCCTGGGTTGGGTTTGGCCTCTGGGAAGCAAACCCAGGACTCCTGCTCTAATTTTGGTGATCGGATTACGTCAGCTATACAATGGATGAACAAATTAAACCTGCTGTTTGGACAAATACCCAAGAATCAATCGGGGTGAGGTATGTCCCTGAGGCTCTCAGTCTTGTGGTCATGAAGATATCAGATGAAGTTGAAGACCTCCATCCAGCCTCCCTCTCTCCCATCCCCAGCAGAGGGAACTCAGAGTGTCTGCTGATGTTCCCAGTCTGAAGCAGGAGGAATGGTAGAAGTGTGACCAAAGAGACAGCCAGAAATGAAAAGGATGCACGAAGTCAGCCAGATGGGGGTCTGAGACTGGTAGCCCAGGGCAAACCTTCCTACTTCTCCCTGCCTCAGTTTATCCCTCCAGCAAATGGGCAAGTTTGATGAGATGGGGCAGGTGAAATCTGCCACAAGCCTGTCATATCACAGGGCTCAGTGAGGGTTGGCTCCTCTTCCCAACCTCCTCCCCAGAAGAATTGACTTTTTGAGGTCAAGTATCATGTCTTAATTCATAGACACAACGGAACAGCCCTCTTAGCGTTGTTGGGACACGGAAGGGAGTTAATCCAGGCAAAGCGCTTAGAATAGCATGTAGGACACAGTAACAATACATGCCAGTTATTGTTATTATTATTATTATTACTACACTATTATTGGATACAGATAATATAGAACATGTGATATACTATGTATTGTTAATATATTATATAATGTATATTGTATAATATATATTATGTAATATACTATACATCTCTATGCATCTCTCTTTCCATATATATGCATGTATATACATTTGATCCTTGAACAGCACAGGTTTGAACTGTGCAGGTCCACCTACATGAGAATTTTTTTCAGTAAATACATAGAGTACTACACTATCCACGGTTGGTTTAATCCCCAGATGCAGAACCACAGATACGGAACCGCGGATACGGAGGGCCGACTACATGACTTGAGCATCCAGAGGCTTTGGTATACACGGCGGGTCCTGGAACCAATTCTCTGTGGCTACTGAGGGACTGAGGGAAGACTGTACATATATACAAATATATATGTATATGGAAAGAGGCACATAGAGGTACATAGTATATTATAATAATATGTATTATATAATATAGATTGCAGGAATCCTATACTGTAAGTACTATTTTAATCTCCATTTTTACAATATATAATGTAATATATACACGTATATATCTACATATACATACAAACACATATATACATATACACATATGTGTTACATGGCTTGCCTCACAGCAAGTATTAAAAAGTATCTCATCCAGTATTAGCAAACTTAGGGTCCGTATTGCTTCTGTATCCTCCTGGTACCTAATATAGTTCTTGACACCTAGTAGATATTTAGAAAATGCTCTTCTGATAACCCCAGCCACAACTGCTATACCTGACCTCTATTTCATGCCAGGAAATGTCACCTCTCTACTTAACCTCTAAATCGGTACATCCTGTAATTGTACTAGAAAAAAATGCTGAAATCCCAGTTCTGCCCCTTCCACGCTGAATGACCTTGGGCTGGACGCTTTCCCTCCCTGAGCCACAAGGTTCTCCATCTGCAAAACAGGTGGCCTTTCCACTGTAAGGTTCTGTGCTGCGTGAGGCTCTGATCCCAGGCACAACCCAGACCCTGCCCCGGAGCCTCACCGATGCTCTCCGTCTGCAGGTAGCACTTGCTGCCCAGGCAATATCGCCACAGGCCCTGGTGGGCGAAGGCCCCCGACAGCCGGTACTGCATCCAGTGGTCTGTCGCCGTGGCCACCACCAGGAGGATGGTCCCCACCCAGGCGCAGAAGAGGCCACCACCCATGAAGCTGTACATGGTGATCTGTGGGTAAAAGGAAAGATGGGGTCGGGAGCTGGATTCCCATGTCCTGGGGGAGAAGGGACTGGGGGTCTAGATTCCTAGTCTGAGGGACAAGAAGCTGGGGCCCTAGACTTCCAGATCCTAGGTGAGGAGGGAGCTGGGGGGCTGGGACATTAGGTCCCAATGAGAGGAAGGGACTGGGCACCTGGATCCCTGGGTCTGGGGGGCAGAGGGAGCTCGGGATCTGGACTCCTGAGCCTGGGGGAGGAGAGGCTGAGAACCTAGACCCTTGGGTCCTGGGAGGAGAAAGGGGCTGGGGGCCTAGACTTCCAGGTCCTAAGCCAGGAAGGGGCTGGCCACTGGGACACCAAGCCTTTGGAGGATGGAGGGGGCCGGGGCCCTGGACTCCCAGGTTCGAGGTGAGGAGGGGGCTAGGGCTAGGACCCCACCAAGTCCCTGCGAGAGAAAGGAGGCCTGGCCGCCTAGATTTAGGGGGAGGAGGGGCCCATGGCTCCCACACCTGGTCCCTACCTGAGGGGCAGAGCCTGCCCTGAACCCTCCGTCTGCCTTGGACCCTCCGTGCAGACTGAGCCCAGTCAGGTCGCTGGCCTCTCTGCTCCCAGGGTCTCCCAAATCCCTTAAGCCTCCCCATACAATGGCCCCATGGCCCAGCAGCTTCCAGCAGGCAGAAGTGCAGTGGTGGCAGACGCCCCAGATGGAATTCGCTGAAGCAGGAATCCAGGCCCTCCCTCCCCGCAGCCCCTGGTCCCACCGGCCTCTCTCTGTGACCCTCCCAGCCACCCTAGCACCCTTTCACAGGCCTCGTTCCACGGCACCCTCGTGGTTAGCCCAAGCTGTGTAAGCACACACAGACACAAGACATAGGGACACTCAGCCATTTATTGTTCAACCCGGCCCCGCTCCCCCAAAGGCAGGAAATGGGGTGGGGCTGCAGGTATCTGGATATGTTGGGCCAGCGGGGTTCTTTGCAGGTGGGGTCACAGGGCATGTCACGTTTGGGGCTGGGACAGGAAGGAGGTTGAGGGCGAGGCGGGGCTGGCTGGGGTTGAAGACAGGGCTGGAGTGCAGGAGAAATCAAGGATGAGGATCGGTTGGCCTTCAGGTGGATGGGAATGAGGATGGGTCAGGGCGGAGGTGGAGAATGGAATGGGGGTGAACGGCTGCGGGATGTGGGATTCAGTGTGGCCGTGGGACGGGGCTGGCAGAGGCAGGTGGGAATGGCTCTGGGGTTAGGAACGGGCCTGGGCGTGGTTGGAGGAGCCCTGGGCATTGAGAGTGAGGCGAGTGTTGTCGCTGTAGTTGGGAACAGTGCAAGAAATGGGAAGAGGCTTGGCTTTGGGCATGAGGTTCAGGGTTGTTTCCCCGGCTTGGGATCCTATGTCAGGTCTGGGTTTCACCAGGTGACTCGCAGGACCCCCTCCTGAGGCTGTGGTTTGAGAGGAAGAGGGATGGGAGCAGGATGTTTCTTGGGTATCTCCGACAGGGCTGAGGTCACCCTGGGCTCCAGGAACACCCTCCTGGTGACCCTCAAGGTCCCGCTCCGGAGTCCAGGGTGCAGGGTCCTCAGGGTCCTAGTACTCGGCCTCCCAGTCATCAGCAGGCGGTGGCTCCAGGGGCGGCTCCGGACCCTGGGCGTCCTTCTTCCCATCCTGGGCAGGTGGTGTCGGTGATGGCAGCGTCATCGGCGGGGTCTTGGGGCCAGCCCCAGGGTTCCCCACCCAGCCACTCTCTGCCTGCTCAGCCCTCCCAAGTCCCCACTGCCGCTGGCCCTGACCCCGGCCTGGCCTGCATCGGGCGTCCCTGCCCCCTCGTCCCCTGGGCGGCCTCTTGGCGGTGCCCGGCTGGGTGCAGCACGCCTGTGGGGCGCAGGGGCAGGAGGGCAAGGACTGCTGAAGCGTGTAGGCTCCCATCAGGGCGCTGTGCAGGAGGTAGGAGAGAGCATCCAGACGGATGGGGACAGTGACAGCGGCCAGGCTCTCAGGGAGCCCCAGGTGGGCTGGATCTGGGGTGCCCAGGAGAGAAGGGAACAGGGCTGGGAAAGGTGCAGGCGGCCACGCCTCAGTCCCTGGGGAAGGCAGGTTGTTCCTAGAATAACAAAAGGACAGGTCAGTGGGTCTCACCACCTGCATACGCCTTCCCTACTGCAGGCTTTCTGCTTCCTGGCTTCTCCCAGGACTCCATTTCTCCCCATCCTCAGGACTGAGCTCGCCTCTGACTTCCAGGCCCCTTTCTCTCTCTGTTTCTTCCCGTTTTCTTTACAGACAGACAGACAGCTCTGCGAGAGCTTCAGCATCCCACAGAACGCGGTTCCCATTCCAGGCTGCCTCCCTCGCGTTGTGTTTGGGCATTTTCCCATTCCGAACCTTACGTTTTCATACCAAGAGATAGCTGCTGGTGGTATCAAAGGTGCTTGTTAAAGGGCTGGGTCTGGGAAGTGTTCGATAAATGTGGACAATTATTATTTCTCCAGCCCTACAGCTGTGTCTGGCATCTTCAATTCTGGTTCCTTCTCGAAATTTCTCTGTTCCACAAATATATTTCTAGCTCTCTCCCTATTTCTAAGCATCTCGCTCAACTCTCTCTGTCACCAAGATTGTCGAAGATTCTGTTTCTGTGTGATGATACCCAAGACTTTTTTTTTTTTTCCTGATACTCTCTGGGTCTGTTCAACTCTCTGATTTTCTCTATCCTCCCTCTTTCTGGGTGTCTGTGCTCCCCGCGGGAAGTCTTGCGTCTCTCACCCCTCCGGCCCAGTCCCTTCCTTCTGCTGTTCCATCTTCACCGCGGTCTTTCAAGTCTTTTCTAGGACCCTCGCCACGACTTCTCCACGGCCCAGTGAGGGGGGAAGCGTCTGGAAGAAGATGGGTGGGACTTTGTCAGAAAGGGGGCGTGGTTTGCGGGGGGCGTGGTTTGCGGGGCGCGCAGAGCCGCAGGAAAGCGTGCAGGGCTGAGTTCGCGGGGTTCCAGTGCGTCAACTCCACGTGTCTCAGGTCGCAGACCACGCCTTCCGGAGACCCAGGAGCCGGGCGCTCGAGCCAGCTCCTCCCTCAGATCCAGGATCCAGGCCCCGGCCCCTCCTCCCTCAGACCCAGAATCCAGGCCTCCAGCCCCTCCTCCCTCAGACCCAGGCCCCTGGCCCCTCCCCCCTCAGACCCAGGATCCACACCCCCAGCCCCTCCCCCCTCAGACGCAGGAGTCCCGGCCCCCGGCCCCTCCCCGCTCAGACCCAGGAGTCCCTACCCCCCTCCTCTCTCCACCTGTATTCCTGGGCCGTGTCCTCAGGGGACCCGATGGTGTTCTTTAGGACTAAAGGGACGTTTAGGGAAATCTGGACATTGGGTACTCCCGGGGGCAGAGGGGTTAGCAGATGGGCTGGCAACCTTAGAGGCTGGATTTCACTCTAAGCTCTCTCTCTGGCTTAACTTTGTGAGCTTAAGCCCTTCTAGTCTCTGTGCTTTTGAGAAACGGGGCTAATATTACCTTCTAGGATCTCGTGAGGTTTAAAGGATGTATCACGTGTGTAAAGTAGTCAACACATGATCTGGACTACAATAAGTGTCAACCAATGAGAGTTTCTTATTGTTATTGCTGGTGGTCGTGGTAGTATTTTATTGAGAAGCAATAGTCATTCTCATATCTATTTATTTAAGAAATATTATTCAGTGCCTGCTATATGCTACGCTCCAGGTTGGGGGCCGGGGATTTAGCCCGGGACAAAATACATGCACGCTAATGAACCTTTACATGTTGGGAGAGAAACACACAAGACACGGTACAGTTCCTATATGCAGGGCTGTGAAGGTGTAAAGACAGGACAAGTGATATAGAGGCACAGGGGGCAGAGGGTTATTTTATTTTTTATTTTTTGGCCACGCCACCGGGCATGTGGGATCTTAGTTCCCCGACCAGGGATGGAACCTGCGTTCCCCTGCAGTGGAAGCTCAGAGTCTTAACCACTGGACTTCCAGGGGAGTCCCCCATGGGCTTATTTTAGATAAGATGGTTAGAGATGGACACTGTGGGATGGAGCCAGCTGACCTGGGAGTTGATTATTCCCAGCGGAGGGACAAGCAGGTGCAAAGGTCCCTCAGGGTGAAACAAACATAGTGTTTGAGGGACTGGGAAGCAATAAGCTAGGAGGAGAGGGACACGTCTATTTTTAAAATATATATATATATTTAAAATTTTGGAATACCTTCATATTTACAGAAAAGTTACGAAGATAGCTTTGTAACTCACCCCGATTCCCCTCTTGCTATCTTCTTACATTATCGTGGAACATTTGTCACAACTAAGAAACCAACATGACTCTTAAGACTCTTCACTAAACTCCAAACTTGATTTGGATTTTGCCAGTTTTTACCCGAATGTCCTCTTTTTTCTGTTCCAGAATCCAAGGCAGGATCCCACTGAGTCATCACATCCCCTCAGTCGCCTCTGTTCTGTAGCAGTCTCTCAGTCTTTCCTTGTTTTTCACAACTTTGACAGCTTTGAGGACTACTGGTCAGTTTCTTCTTTTTAACAAACTAGAGGTCTATTTTAATGAATAATTCCAATTTATTTAGTCTTCATTTCACAGAGGTTCAAACTGTGCCTCAGAGAGGCTAAGTAAGTTACTCAAGGTCACGGAGCTCGTCAGTAGCACAACTGGGATTTGAACCCTGACTGTGCTTAATGGAGACACAAGTAGGAGCCAGACTGTATAGTACCTTCTAGGCTGACTTTGGAATTTTTTTTTTTTTTTAATTCTGGAACATTGAGATGACTTTGAACATTTGTAAGCAGAAGTGTGACATAATTTATGTTTTAAGAAGAGCACTGTGCCTGCGGTTTGGAGAGTGGATTGTGGTGGAACGCAAGAGTGGAAGCAGGAAGCCTAGGGAGAACGCTGCCATCCTCCAGGCATGGGTGGTGACGGCTCCAAGGAGGTTGGGGGTAGTGGGGATGGGAAGATGTGAATAGATTTAAGATGTGTTTTGGAGGGAGAGCCATCGGGATTTGCTGCAGGGCTGCTGGACACGAGTAATGGGGAATCAAGGATGATGCAAAGTTCTCAACCTGAGCGGCGCCTTTGAATATGAATTTTTTTACAAGAAGTTCACAACATCTCACTTTAAGGATGAGAAATCCGAGACTAGCTTTCGAGTTCTGTGCTGGATGATACTGGTGACGCCGAGATGACGCAGAACCGGTACCTGCTCTCGAAGGGCTCAGTCCTGAGAGGTGGGGGACAGACACAGAGATGGACAATAACATTCTGGGGTGATGGGAGCCGGGACACAGGGAGGAACAGGACAGTGAGAGCCGGAAGCGGATTAAACATTGCCTGGAGGCAAGGGGGAGGGGGAGATCGGGGTCCAGGAAAACATTGTTGCTCGCTTGCAAGGCGTGGGGGAGAAGGTCGGAGAGGTTTTTGGGTTTTTTGGTGTTTTGTTTTGTTTTGTTTTAGAGGAGGTGGCCTTTGGGCTAGGTCTAGGGTGAATGGATATTTGATGTAGAAGAAACGGCGCGAGCAAAGGCTAGGTGGTTAGAATCTAAAGATTTTTACCAAGAAGGCTGGTTTTCCTTTCCTGGCGACTATGATTAGCATGCAGGTCTCATCCATCCGGTTAGGAAGCTTATGTCAAACAGGGCTCCGAAATAAGGGTTCGAATCCTCGTTCCGCTTCTTACTAGCTCTTGACCTAAAGTAAGCTAAGTCTCTGGGTTTTTGCGACATAAAACTCAATTCCAGCGTAACGGCACTGCTTCGTGTTTTGTTCTGTTACTGTTCCTCCGGTTTCTGCCGTCAGGGTCCGACCTCGCCACTTACCATGTACCTGGCCCTTTAAGGCCCTCCTCCCGGACCTGGGAGAACGGAGGCGTGTTCTTGTGCCTCTAAGAAAATGTCCTTTACCCAGCTTTCAAAATTGACAGGCAAGTTCTGAAAAGTAACCAATCAATTCCTGAGTCGGGAGGGAACGAAGGTTCCGATTTGTTGGGGAACGCCTGCAGCAATAGGTTTGAGCTCCTCCCACTCCTTGTTACGTGAAACAGCGCGAGACGTAATCCTCAGCTCTGATTGGCGGGTATGATCACGTTGCTTCCGCGTCTCCTCTGTCCGTCAAATCCGGGGGAGGCGGGGCTAGCACCCTCGCGTTTTGATTGGCTACGTTTCTGAGCGCGTCTGAGCGTTTGAGCGTGAGAAGCCCGTGCACCGCAAAGAAGAGTAGTCCCCGCTCGCCGCAACTAGAGAAAGCCCACGCACAGCAAAGAAGACCCAATCAGCCAAAAATAAATAAATTTAAAAAAAGTTACTGACCCCTGGTCAAACAAATTTTGAAGGGTCGTTTGGCAGGATTTGGGGGCAGAGAGAGGGAAACGGAGGCCCCTCCAGCATTCTGCCCCCTCTAAGTTTATTAAAACGAATTCAGGACCTGCAGTGGTCATCCCTTTTAGGACCTGTCTGAGCTTGAATGTCACTTCTGCTATTTTGTTGTGTGAACCTGTCCCTCTTGAAGCCCCTATAAAATGAGGCAGTTGTACAAACTACCATGTATAAAATAAATAAGCTATAAGGATATGTTTTACAACACAGGGAATAAAGCCAATATTTTATAATAACTGTAAACGGAGTATAACCTTTAAAATCTGTGAATCACTATGTTTACACCTGAAACAATATTGTACATCAACTACGCCTCAATTTTTTAAAAAAACTTTTAAAAAAATGAGGCCGTTGCATTGGTTGATCCTACTCCATGGGTAATTCAATTACTCTGCGTATACTGGCTTCTGGTGGCCAACTTCAGTGCTTGCAGCTAGTTCAGTTTTTTATTTTATTCAGTACACAGAGGCACTGGCACAGTTAGGAGGCAAAACATGTCAGCGTGGGCCTCCTTACCATATCATCATATGCAGTAACTACCAAATCCGGGCTCCGGGGGTGACTATGGAGGAAAAACAGAGAGCACCTAGGACACAGTGAGCACAGCGCTCTTTTTTGCTACCTTCTTCTCCAAAGCTATTTGCATCCCACCTGCAGACTGGAGCTCCATGGCTCAGCCAACTGGGCTAGTCACTTAATACCTTACACAAGCCGAGAAAATTTAAAACACTATAGTTGCCATTAAACAAATGTAAGATGATAACTTTCTCTATTCTTCCGAATCAAAGAAGGGCACCCACCATACATAACTCATCGTACTTGATACTCAGATCATCGTACTTAAAGTCTGGGTAACAGTTCACAGTTTATAAAGTCCCTTCATCTGTGTTCTTTTTCTTAAAAAACATGTTTTTATTGAAGTATAGTTGATGTACAATATTACATAAATTACAGGTGTACAATAGAGTGATACACAATTAAAAAGTTTTTAAGGTTATGTTCCACTTATAGTTATTGTAAAATGTTGGCTATATTCCCTGTGTTGTACAATATGTACTTGTAGCTTATTTTATACCTAAGAGTTTGTACCTCTTAATCCCCTACCCCTATACTGCCCCACCCCCCTCATCTGTACTCTCTTATTCAATCATTATAACAAACCTTCCAAGTAAGGGTGTTACCTTCATTTTAATACATGGGGAAATCGAGGCTCAGAGAGAGAAAGTCACTTGCCTACACTTATTCTGATTAGTTAGTAGAAGAATCTGGACACAAGTGCAAGTCGTTTGTCCTTTCCATATACTGCACCTGCCACCCCTCCTTATCAGGTCCCCTCTGCTCAACAAGCCACCAAGAGGGCAATATAAGGTCATGACCAAGAGCCTGGGCTCTGGAATCAAATCTTACTAATCCTGTGGCTTTGGATGTGTCTGTAACCTTTTCGTGACTCAGTTTGCCCAACTGTATAATAGAGATAATATCTGTATAAAGGAACCCTTGGAAAATTCCAACTCAAAATCTTTTTCTTTCTTTTCGTTCCCTCTTTATCTAATTGCATTTATCCTTCTAAGGAGTAAAGACATCCCCTCCACCCCCACTCCCCCACCATGGTCTTAGAAAGGAAAAGAAAGATCAACAGAGGCCAGCTTCATGGACACAGCCTGACCACTACTTCCTGCTGAGATGAGGTGACCAGCTAGCCTCTCTTTATATCTGAGATGATTGACCATCCTCACATTCTGCCCTGAGTTTTGAGTCCTTTTCACTCAAAAACGCCACTTCAGGAGGGATTATGAAAAAGCGGGGAGAGCAGCGGTTTTGGAGTCAGCCATGGGTGGGACCCCTGATATTGCCGATTTCTCCTGTGTGTCTTTAGATAAGTTAGTTCACCTCTCTGAGTCTCAGATATCTTCCCAATGGAGATACTCTTAAATCTTACACCACAGTTGGCTCACAATGTGATACATAGCAGGTATTCAAAAATATTAATTTCCTCCCTCTTACTATTAAACTGCCACTCAAGTCTCCTCGCCCTACAAGTCCTCACCCTAGAAACCTTCCATCTAGTCACAGAGCTAGTCAGTGTCACCTTGGCTACTCTTGAACTCTCTCTGGACCTCCGCTTCTGTTAGCTCTTCTGTACAAATAAGTGGGTGAGTTTACATTACATGAAAATTCCACAAACTTTTCCTAACCCGAAGGCTAGCTGTCTTAGGCTTAGCAGGGCAACGGCTCCACTCTGCCTGAAATCAGCCATAGGTGATACAGAAAAAAATGGGCATGGCTGCATTCCAATAAAGTTTTATTCGTGGACACTGAAATTTGAATCTCAAGTCATTTCCATGCAACATAAAGCAACCTTCTTTTGATTTTCCCCTTAACCATTTAAAATGTAAAACACACTCTGGGCTCACAGGCGGCAGCAAACTAGGCAGCCGCCCAGACTTGACCTGTGATGTTGGCAAAGATGAGCGCCTGATCACCTTTAAAGGTCCTCCCACCGCTGAGAAACAGACTGTGAGTATTCAGCCAGGGTGGTGCCTAGGTGTGTCAGAGGAAAAGCTTTACCTTGTTTAGAACAGTGTATTTGGAGAAGGCCGCTCTAGAGACATTCATCAGGCTGTTCCAAAATGCTAGGATCTGGGATGGGATCATCCCATCCTTGGACGATGAAATGAGAGAGGGAGACAGAAAGACAGACAGGCTATACACTCTGTTCTCCTCTTCCCAATTGTTCTGCCTTTCTCCCCGGCCTGGATCCAAGTCCTCCAACCCAGCAGACAGACGCTCAGTGGAACTGGGTTTCAGCATACTCTGGGTGAGTATCCTTGGGCCTCTGGGTGTTCCATGGTCTGAGGCCTGGGAAGTTGAGGACAGCATAATGGGTCTCCCCCTGGTTGTTCTCTGATTCTGGGGCTTGAGTGGATGATTTGGGTCCTGGACAATTGTGGGAAACGAGATAGAGCTCCTTCTGGTTCTTTCTGGGTTCCGGGGGGTGAGCATCTGGAACAGTGGCCCAGGAAGGACTGCTTGGTTTGGTTTTCTGTTTCTGAGCCTAAGGGAAAAATGACCATCCTTCATTCATTCATTCAACAAACACTCGAGCCCCTACCACGTGCTAGGCACCGAGTGAGGAACTGGGGTTACATCAGGCAGTAAAACAAAGACCCTGCCTTCGCTGAGCTCGCCTTCCATCTCGCGACAGGAACAAACAATAAAGACAAGTCTGTGGTTAAGCCTCCCAGCCTGTGGTCCTCTGCTATGGCCGCCCTAGCAAACTAATGCAGATACATTGGTGTAACCATCACCACAAGACACCGAACTGCTCCATCGTCACAAACGTCTCCCTCCTGCTGTCCTTCTCATCATTCTCCCGCCCCGAACCCCTCGCAACTACTAACCTGTCCTCTGTCTCTACAATCTTATCATTTGAGAGTGTTATATACACGGAATCCTGTGTATGTGACCATCTGAAATTGGCATTTTTCACTTTTTTTTTTCCTTCGTCCCTAAGCTCTATCCAACCGAGGGGGGAGAAGTGGTTTGGATGGATTTGGGAGGAGATTTGCAGATGGATTGATTGTGGGGGCGATAAAAAGAGAGGAGTAAGAAATGACTTAAAGTCTTTAGGCTTGAGCAGCTGGGCAAATGTGGTGCTATTTGCTGAGATGCAGAGGATGGAGGAGAAGGGTTTTAAGTGGTGCTTAGTCATGAGTTTGGTTTTGGACAGGCTAAGTTTGAGATGCCTATTAGACATCCACGTGGAGATGCTGCCTAGATAGTTGGCTATGAGTCTAGAGTTCAGGGATGAGTCTGGGAGATGTAAGTTTTGGAATCATCCACATATAGATGTTCTCTCCTGAAAAGATCCAGCATTTACCCAACACTTACTAGGTGCCTGGTACTGTTCTAAATGCTTTACAAGTAGAAAATGAGCATATTGAATACCCAGGGTGAGCCTACGTGGTCGGCACTACTATTATCCCCATTTTACAGTTAAAGAAATCGAGGCACAGAAAAGTTAAGTGGCTCATCCCAGAACACACAGTGAAGAAAGCGGACAGGAACCCAAGCAGGCTGGCTTCAGAGCCCTACCCTTAATCATCACGAGGACATACCGTCTCTCAGTGATATTAATCATTGGTGACATCATTAATTTTACTTAGTAATGTTCTTGGTAATAGTAATAATGGAATAGCTGCTACCTATTAGGCAATAACATGTGTTGTGATCCTCAAACCGACTCTCAAGGAGGAAGCAATAGAGGCTCAGTGGAGGGAGGGATTTGGTCAAGGTCTCATAGAGGTTAAGTGCCAGAATCAGGATTTGAATCCAGCACCCGGGCCTTCTCCACTGCGATGTCTCTCGGGCAAAGGGTGAGGGCGGGGCTGGGGAGGAGGGTATACAGGAGTCAGAGAAGGGGAAGAAGAGACAGCTGGTTGGGACCACTCACCAGGGGGCCAGTTTTAGGGACCACGTTGATGTAATCCAGGAGCGTGCTCCTCCGTGAGACCCTGGACCTCGGAGTCTCTCCCGGGGCCGGGGCCGGGGCCGGGGCCGGGGCCGGAACCTCTGCTTGGGTCCACTTCTTCCTCAGAGCCCTCACGCTGAGGGAACACCCCGCCTTGGTGTGCGCCCTGGCCCCGCCCCCCTCTCCACGGGTCCCAGATCCCACGCTCCCTCCATCGCTGGTCCTGCTAACTCACACGATCAGGATGAAGCAGAGGAAAAGGAGGGTCATGAGGCCAATTCCTAGAAATATTCCGCTGGAAAACGCTTTGGAGGCGAATCCCTTCTCATCTGCACGAGGAAACGGTCAGCCATCTCTGAGCCCTTCCCATCCCCGTGGGTCCTCACGTCCACCCGCCACTAGGCGCTCAGGCTTCCGGAGCCTAGTGGTTTTTCCAGAGGTTTTTACCTAGAGCCCCTTCCCATCGACTTCTTGGAAACCGCTACACCCCAGGCCCAAGCGTCAGGCTCTCCGGTTTAATTTCCCCCTCCGCATCCCCAGCCACAGGCGCCCCCGTGTCCCCGCTCCCCAGCTCCTGACCCAACCACAGGACCCTGTCGCTGTCGCTCTCAGCCCCCGCCTCCAGGGGGCGTCCAGTTGGCCCCTGACCTGGCAGCAGCAGGACAGTGGCGCTCTGGGCCCCGTGGACGTTCTGGGCCTCGCAGCTGAGTCTGAGGCCAGAGCTGAGCCCCTCGCGGAGGCTCAGGGAGCTGTTGACCCAGGGCCCAGCCGAGCTGGAGGTGACCTTGAAGGAGGCGTTGCTGAAACTCCCCTCCAGCAGCCCCTCCCCCAGCCGCCAGCGCAGGGAGGGGGCCGGCTGGGCTCGGGAGGAACAGTCGCAGTGCAGACCCTCCTCCTCCTGGGAGCAGGAGGGTCCCAGCAGCTGCGGGGGGTCTGTACAGAGGGAGGAGAGTCAGCGGTGCCTCTCCCCTCACGTGGGCCCAGGTGTCCTGCCCCCAGGGGTCCCCACACTCACAGACCACCGAGAGGCTCAGAGACGTATTCTGGGAGCCCAGAGGGTTCTGAGCTCGGCAGGTGAATTCTCCTTCATGCTCTGTTTGTATCTGAGGCAGCTCCAGGACCCCAGGATCTGAGGGCTGGGAGGGGCTCAGAGTCTGCCCCCCTCGGGCCCAGCTCAGCCGGGCTGGGGGGTTGCTGTGAGCGACACAGAGCAGACGCAGGCTTTGGCCTTCCAGGACCGGAAGAGATGTGCCATTTCTGAAGTTTTCCAGGACTAGAGAGGGAACAGCCAGGATGGATGAACAGCTGAGGGCACAAGGACCCTCTTCCTGCTGACATTCCAGACGTCTGGGCTCCCAGTTTGGTTCCTCTGATCCCCTTTCCTACCTGTCCTATTTCCTTGGGAGACCATCACTGTCACGTTCTCTGGGGCATCTGAAACAGAGACAGGGTACTTGACTCTAAACAAGCCAGGGGTTTCCTTCTGGGCAAAGTGAACGTCCCTAGGGGTGAAGGGCTGGGAGGCGGAGGGGGGTTGAATCACCCACTGAGTGATTCTCAGATGAATGACCCAAGGGAATAGACTGGTAAGAAGGGCAGGTCCCTAAGATATTGTGATTTATAACAGAAATAGGTATTTGATCTTTGTTCCTATTCCTGGCACAGAGCTTCTAAAACTCTTGGATTTCCTGAATGCTAGGTAAGCGTGATAAATGTGCCTTGTTATTTATAACAAACCCCTTTCCACCACTCCTGAGTTTATGTTAATGAAGTCACTTTTAGAAGCGCCCAAGGATGAGGGCTTGTTGCCAGGGGAACCAACCACGGATTAGAGGGTTAGAACTTTCAGTCCCACCCCCCTGACCTCTGAGGAAGGGAAAGGGGACTGGAGATTGAGTTCAATCACCAATGGCCAATGATTTAATCAATCGTGCCTATGTAATGAGGACTCCATAACACGCCCCCCCCCCCAAATGGGGTTGGGAGAGCTTCCAGGTTGGTGAACACTTGGAGATTTGGGGAGAGTTGTGCCCAGGAAGAGGGCATGGAAGTTAGATGCTCCTTCCCCATACCTCGCCCTATGCATCGCTTCCATCTGGCTGTTCCTGAGTTATATTCTTTTATAATAAACCGGTCATCTACTGAGTACAATATTTCTGTGAGCAGCTCTAGCAAATTAATTGAACCCAAGGAGGAGGTCATGGAAACCTCCAATCTATCGTTGGCCGGTCAGAAGCACAGGTGACAACCTGGACTTGTGATTGGTGGCTGAAGCGGGGGCGGGGCCACTTTCCAGAAACTGATCCCTCAACCTGTGGGATCTGACGCTGTCTCCGGGTAGATAGCGTCAGAATTGAGTTGAATTGTAGCACATGCCACTGATGCTGGAGAATTGCTCGGTGGCGTGGGGAAATCCCCCGCCCCCGCGCCCACCGCAGTCGGAGCTGGAAGCAGAATCCCTAGCCCCATAGGCCTGGGGTTCCGGGTCACCTTAGAGCTCTGGGGCCCTGCCCTCAGCCCCTTCCCTCCTCCCCCCCCCCCCCCGAACCAGGCCCCTGCTGATCACACTCACAGTGCACGGAGAGTTCCAGGCTGCGGCTCCGGGAGCCGAGCCCGTTCTCAGCTCGGCAGGTGTAGCGACCCGCATCCTCAGCCTTCACCCGGGACAGCACCAGCTCCAGGGTTCTGGAGCCCGAGGGGTGGGACCAAGAGAGGATTCTGTCCTGCAGGGCCCAGCTCAGTGTGGCAAGCGGCACGCTGTCAGCTGTACAGAGTAGCCGCAGGAACTGGCCTTTCTGGACTTCCAGATGGGGGCTGTTTCCCTGCGGCTCCAGGGCTGCAGAGAGAGAGAGAGCGCGCAAGAGAAGGACTGCAAGGGGGAACACCACTCCCCCGCCCTCCTGACACCCCCAAGTGGCCCTCAGTACCTGATACATCGGTCTGGGAAATGCTGATCACCAGGTCTTTGGGGGCATCTGTAACAGGATTGGGAGCTGGCTTTGGGGAGGAATGAGAGATTTCCCACCGCCAGAGAGAACCCCCTCGGGGAGAAGAAAGTGTGACTTTCCTCCGGGAAGACAAGTGACAAATGAGTGCCAAAGATGCGCTTACGGACACAGGTCCAGATGGCATCCCCATTCCCCCTCCCTGGGCCGAGGCAAGCGTCGCTAGACTCCACGCCTTCCTACCCACGAATCCGCAGAGAGCTGACCATCATTGCCCGGCTGCCCCTCTCCACCTCCGCATCCCCCGTGCCTGTTTGCGCACCCTGATGTCCTTCCCGCCACCAAACTCACAGGCCACGCTCAGTAGGACGCTGTTCTCTGTGCTCAGTCCCTTTCTGGAGACGTCCACTCGACAGGTGAGCTTAGTGCCGTGGTCCTGGGGTCTGGGTGTGAAGGTGAGGGCTGAGAGGTAGGAAGTTCTTGGTCTGGCCTCGTGGGAGGAGACGGTGGCCCCCCTCCAGGAGAGAGTAGGGGCTGGACATTCCTCAAAGGTCCAGTGAAACATACAGATGAGCGTCACCTGGTGCCCAGGCTTCAGAGTCTCTGGGACGTAGATCTCTGGCTTCTGAGTCAGGGCTGGGATGGAGGGAGAGAGGGTGGGATGCTAGACCCTGATGGGGGTACTGCCGGGGGTCCCCCATTGTCCGTTCCCCATAGCCCCTCCCCAGTATGAGAACGGGGGAGGGGGGAGGGGGGAGGGGGAGGGGGGGTCCCACCCCGGGGGGGGTCCCACCCCATTCCAGCTCTAGCCAGTTGCGTACCTGTCACCTCCAGACGGAACTTGTATTCCACGAAATTATATCGCACGTAATGGCCTCTCTCCAACCGAAAGAAGTACAATGCACTGTCCTCCATGTGTACATCTCTGATGAGCAAAGAGCAATTCTGTCTGGGATCGCCAAGGAGCTGGAATCGGCCTCGGGTGTGTGTTTGCACGTCTCGATCCGGCTTGTTTGTGGCCACTGGCAGACCACTGTCTGTGGCGGTCGGGTCTTTGAACCAGAAGCCGTAAGCTGGGGTGGAGGAAACCCAACCTTTTACGGGATAGGAGACGGAGCAGGGCACGACCACGCACAGGCCTTCCTGCACCCTCACCAACTCCTGCACCTGCAGCTGGAAAGCTGGATTCTGAGCCCATGACCCTATGGGGAGACAGAGAGAGGCTCAGGCTGCACCCCCAGTCCCGGGCCCCTCCTGGTCCCCCACCTCGTTCACTCACCGGCCCACAGCACGGCTAAGAGCAGTGGCAAGAGCATCTCAGGCACTTAGACCTGCCCTGGGACACGCTCATTCCCCAGACACTGTGACTTGCACTGGGTGAGGGTAGAAGGCGGAAGCTGAGCCCTGGTGGGTTGATGCATGAAATGAACTTCTGATGCTGAGACCCACACGACTCATTTTCCTTTTCTGGACTCTCCCCACCCCCATGTCACCCACTTGAACTCACTCTTTCCCGGGGGGCTCGCCTGGCGTTTGGGCTCCCTGAGCTGGTCACCTTCCCGCGTCACCTCTGGGGGAGGGACTGCAGGACATGTGTCTAGACTTGGGGCCTGGCTTTGGGTGGGTGGAGGCCGGGGACTCTCCCGCTGGACCCTGAGCCGTTAGGGAAGCAGAAGTGAAAGTCCCCAGTAAGCCCTTCTTACAGGGGCCTCTGGTGATGGTGATGGGTGCTGGGCAGGGTGGATTTCTGGGGCAGAGGGTGGGAGTGGGAGTGCAGGGTTAGTCTTGCCAGATAAAAGTCAGGATGCCCGGTTAAAACTGGCTTTCAGACGAAAAATGAACTGTTTTAGTATAAGTATGTCCCAGAGATTGCATGTGATATACTTCTACTAAAATCATTCGTTGTTGAGATCTGAAATTCAACTTTAACTGGGCACTTTGCATTTTTATTGGCTAAATCTGGCAACCGTAGGCTGGTCTCAGTCCCTCTACCCCTTCACCCTCCCTGATGGGCTCACTGACACCTGGTCCCCCAGGAGCACCCACCCCAAGGTCTTCGTCTGCTTCCCAGTCTCCCCTTCTGTCACACAGTTGGACGACACACATTTGTAACACCTGCTGTGATAAGAACACAGACACCCAGGGGCGATGCTGATGGTGGGAGACTTAGGCAATGTAAGGGGCGTGGGATTGGTGGAGTGAGTCAGGTAAACTCCCCCAGATGTGGACTGTCGTTCCCCTCACCTTGAAATGACTCTGTTTTGGTCACGTGGAGACACTGTGTTTGCCTATATGACCTCCATGCTCTGGAAGCTTGTGTGTGGCAGGTGTCACGCTGTATATGGCGGAGGCGGACACACATAGGTAAATGAGACAGTGTCTGACCTCAAGGGAACCCAGCTTGGTTAACGAAGATCCTTAGAAACAGAAGAGCACTGAAGTGTTCATAAATGCCCTGCCCCCCACATGCTGGGACAGATATTCACGCTGGGCCCTGGGGAAAGGGTGGTCACTACTTCCTGGCAAAGTCAAGAGGGGCTTCCCGGAGGAAGTGACACATAAGTATCCCTGTCCTCGAATCCACTCTATTAGTCTTCTCAGGCTGCCATAATAAAAGAGCACAGAATGAGCGGCTTAAACAACAGAAATGTATTTCCTCACAGTTCTGGAGGCTACAAGTTCAAGATCAACGTGTCAGCAGGGTTTGTCCCTTCTGAGGTCTCTTTCCTTGGCTTGGAGATGGCCGTCTTCTCCTCCAGTCTTCACCTGGTCTTCCTTGTGTGTACGTGTGTTCTTCACAAGGACACCAGTCATACTGGACTGGGACTCTGCCCTATGACCTCATTTCAACTGAATTACCTCTTTAAAGACTCTATCTACAAATATACATTCTGAGATACTGGGGGTTAAGACTTCAACATATGAACTTGGGGGCAGAGGGAGTGCAATTCAACCCGTAACATCCACCCTCCTATTCACTGTGCTCCCGGGGCCCCACTGCCCAACCTAGGCTTTCCCTGGGGGAAGCAGTTTCCCTTCTCCCAGGGGAGCCCTTGCATGCAGGGACATCACACCCTTCCTTCTGTCAACTTCACAGAGGAAGGGCCTCTCAGAGGGAGGAGTGAGAGGGAGGGAAGGATGCCTGGGTCCTGCTGAGGGCTTGCCCTGAAGGAGCTGAGAACCGAGGTTCCGCACCCCCAAAGCTTAGATCCAGCCTCACCTCTGCCTTGGAGCATCTCCATGCCTCCATGGGGCTAATAGGAGTGGGAACCAGGACAGCGGCAACATCTCAGGCCTTCCGTGGGTTTCTCCACACTATTCCATGCTACTCCATCAGACAGAAAAGGGAGAGAGGACCGTCTGCTACCCTGGGGCTGAAGGATACCAATCCGTGACTCCCCAGCTCCTCCAGGCCAACCCAGAGGTCTCATACGCTCCACCGACGAATGTGGGCCACCCTCAGGGTGAGATATGCCTTCAAAGCTCAGAGCTGACCCCTGAGACGTGGAGGTGACGAGGTCTCCTGTACCAGGCGAGGTCGGTTGGGCAGCTTCGTATCTATAGCCAAGCGGCCAGGGAGAGGTGGAAACAGAGTGGAGCCAGTAACCCCACTTGTGGACCAACCCATCCCCCTTCTGGAGGCAGCTGCCAAAAGGTTCCTGGAGGTGGTCCTGAGACCATCAGCTCCCCTCCTCTGCGTTCCTGGAAACCCTGAGGGTTCGCTCTTCTCTTCACAGGAAAGGTTCTTCAGGTCACAGGAACTGCCCTTTGTTTACTGTCCACCCTGCTCACCCGAGTCCAATCTTGCCTCCATCCCTACATCCCTCAACCTCTTCTTCTCAGGGTCACCAGAGATCTCAAATGGCTAAAACCCATGGGTAACTTCTATTCTCATCTCATTGGATGCCGCCTGCTCAGCAGCATTTGGTGTGCTCAGTCACCCCTTCCTTCTTTTTTCTTTTTATAAATTTATTTGTTTATTTATTTTTTGGCTGCACTGGGTCTTCGCTTGCACACGGGCTTTCTCTAGTTGCGGCGAGCGGGGGCTACCCTTTGTTGTGTTGCATGGGCTTCTCATTGCGGTGGCTTCTTGTTGCAGAGCACAGGCGCTAGGCACGCGGGCTTCAGTAGTTGTGGCATGCGGGCTCAGTAGTTGCGGCGCACAGGCTCACTAGTTGCGGCGCACGGGCTTAGTTGCTCCGCAGCTGTGGGAAGCGGTCAGCCTTGAGAGCAGGCTACGGACATGCCAGGCATGCCGCCGCTGCTCGAAGGGACTGTGCCTACTCGTTCCCCTCCTTGTTCCATTCCACGGGAGATAAATCACCAGGGCCCAGAGATCAGAAAGAATGTAAAATGAGAGAAGCAAAGCTGTCTCCCCCCTGCACGTGCAGGTTATTTTTGATGATTCTGGGTTTATGGGTTTTCTCCCAGGGAAGTTAACCTTGAAGCCGAGACAGTCTGTAGATAATGTAAACCACCATCTGGTAACCTCCCTTTTTCTAGTCTATATAATTTGCAACTGTAGCATAATAAAATTTGCCTTGCAACCATCGGTTGTCTTGGTCCTCTGACCCCATCTGTCGGTGCTACTTCAGTTCCTTACCCCTTCCCTTCTGACCCTGGGCGGTGAAATCCTCTTTCTCCGGCTGGTCCGCGGCACGCGGCATGTGGGATCTTCCCGGACCAGGGCTGGAACCCGTGTCCCCTCCACTGGCAGGCGGATTCTTAACCACTGAGCTACCAGGGAAGCCCCACCCCTTCCTTCTTGAAACACTTCAGTCTGGCTTCCCCTGTCACCTAGAACTGCCATCTCGAAGGTACCTGCCAGAGTCGGGCTGCCCATAGCGTACAGAGGACACCATTACTTCCTTGGTTTTCCTTCTACCTTTCTAGACACTCGTCTTCATCTTTAATGGTTCCGCCTCTGCCCTGGACTCCTAAATCTTAGAAAGCATCAGGATCACTCTCCCTAGATGTCCTATTTCATCCACGACTTTAAAAATGCATGCTACACGTGATATTGTGATTTATAGTAAGTATATACTTTGGTCTTTGCTCATGGTTCCTGGCTCACAGCACCCAAAACCCTTGGAATTTCCTGAGTGATAAGAGCAATGGGAGCATCTTTTGTTCTAATATTGGTCTCTTGTCCTCAGTTCCTGAAAACACTTCAGAGCCAGAAATGAGTGTCTTGCTATTCATAACAAACCCCTTTCCACCACACCTGAGTTTTTGTTAATGAGGTGACTTTTGGAAAGCACACAAGGATGGGGGCTAGTTGCCAGGGGAATGAGCCATGTGATTAGAAGGTAGGAAATTTCAGTCCAATCCCTGACCTCCCAGAAGGGGTGAGGGGCTAGAGGCTGAGTCAGTCGCCCATGGCCAATGATTTAATCAGACCTGCCTATGGAATGAAGCCTCCATAAAAACCAAAAGTATGGGGTTCAGAGAGTTTCCAGGTTGGAGAACATGTGAAGATTTGGGGAGAGTGGTGCACCCCCCGCAAAGAGAGGGCACGGAAGCCCCAAGCCCTTTCCCCATACTTTGTCCTATGCATCATTTCCATCTGGCTGTTCTTGAGTTATATCCTTTTATAATAAGCCAGTAATCTCAGAAGTAGACTGTTTCTCCGTGTTCTGTGTGCCACTCTAGCAAATTAACTGAACCCAAGAAATGGGTCATGAGAACCTCCGATCTATACTCCATCAGTCAGAAGCACGAGTGACAACGTGGACTTGTGATCGGCATCTGAAGCGGGGGGCGGGGGGGCAGTCTTATGGGACTGAGCCCGTAACCCGTGGGATCTGACACTATCTCCAGGTAGGTGGTGTCAGAGTTGCGTTGAGTTGTAGGATGCCCAGCTAGCGTGGAGAATTGCCTGGTGGTGTGGGGAGCTTCCCCCCCCGGGCCCACGCTTTGAAATCGGTAATCAGAATTGTACTACCAATATCAATTTTTTGGTTTTCATATTGCCCTCCAGTTGTGTAAGATGTTAACACTGGGGGTAACTGGAATGCATGACACATCACTGTACATTTCTCTGCAACCTCCTGTGAGTCTCTAGTTGCTTCCAAATGAAGTTAAACTACAAACTAAAATAAATGATCCCAAGACACACAATAACAACAATAAAGAAACACGCCGATGACTCATAAAGTATGTATTTCAATCCTTCCCTGTCTACCTGACACGGACTCAGGAATACATAACGGGCACCTCAAACTTAGGATCTAAATTTTCACGCAGCACTCTTATTTCTCATCTCAAACCCTCTCCTTTTCAGTTGTCTAAATGTTATTGTTTTGTGGTACCAACATCTGCCCACATCCTAGCATCATTCTGATGTCTTCCTTTGCCTCAGTCCCTGCAAGACCTGTCAGTTCAACTTTTTAAATATTAAAAAAAAAAAATCTATCCACTTATGCCCACCCCCACTACCATTCATTACCCTAGTCCAAGATTTCTCAATCTCAGCACTATTGACGTTTTGAGTCAGATAATTCTTGGGGAGTAGAAGCCACCCCGAGCTTTGTAGGACGTTGAGCACCATCCCTGGCCTCCACCCACTAGATGCCACTTGCCTCCCTC